TGAAGGCAGATCTGTTGTCAAAGGACAGGATTACATCAAGGTCTTCCATCTTTTTTTTTTTTTTTTTGAATTAGACATGTTATGTTCAAATAACTCAGAGTTAATTGAATTGTGAAGCTCAGAATTGCCTTTTGTTTACTACAAGATGCGCTAGACTGCAGAACACATCACTGAACGTAGGTTTTCCTGGGATTTGGGGGTCTGAGAGTGATCAGCCAATTGTGACCCAGCACCAAGAAAACAGGCATTTCTTCAGAGGCTTCTGAGTGGAGCTTTTTGCTTTGAGGCGACTGCCAGGCCACTGCACATAAAAAGGCCTCTTTGCTCTCCCATTGTATTGGTATTGGTGTTAGTAGGGTGAGGCAGTTTTCTATCACTTATATAGAAGATGTTTCTGATCTTCTCAATATTAAATGTTGATTTTAACATTCATGGGGAAAGAAACCAGGTTGCTCGGTTTTCCTTAAGTATTAGATAATCTGCGGTGGGCGAAGATTCAAAGCTGGAATATTAATGAACAAGATTATGTGGGCCCATACATAATGAAATTGGGGAAAGTCAATTTTGTTTTGTTTTGTTTTTTTGAGACGGGGTGTTGCTCTGTTGCCCCAGCTTGGAATTCAGTGGCAACAATCTTGGCTCACTGCAACCTGTGCTTCCTAGGCTCAGGCAGTTCTCCTCTCAGTCTCGCAAGTAGCTGGGATTACAGTCACCTGCCACCATGCCTGGCTAGTTTTTGTATTTTTAGAAAATAGTTTAGTATTATAGAGATGGGGTTTCACCATGTTGGCCAAGCTGGTCTCGAACTCTTTACCTCAAGTAATCCACCCACCTTGGCCTCCCAAAGTGCTGGGATTACAAATGTAAGCCACTTTGCCCAGTCCCCAAAAGTCAAAGTATCTTACATCACTGTTGTGATTTATCTTTTCTCATTGTAGATCTGAGAAACTAAAAAAAAAAAACAAAAAAACTATAAAGGTTCACATTTATATCCACACATAATAAACATGCATTCTAACACAAAAAGCATTTCAACTGATGCATATATCTTAATAGTTGTCATAAAACTTTTAAGCAGGTAGAAAATACCACTTTCATTGTCTGGTAATAAGGCAACTAAGTTAGTGACTTATTACAGTACACATTACCTCAGGGTCCCACCTGTTGGATCATCTCAGAAATACATATATCTTGATGGTGAACCTTCTGAATGTGGCTTTTTAAACACTATCTGCCATAAAATTTTGTCACATGATAGGCTATATAATAAACTCCAAGAATTACATATGCATATAGACATATGCCCTGCCTTGTATATGTATACTTATTTTTCATTCAAAATGCTGAGCTAACAAAACAACTTCTGAATTTAACCCTTGTATTTTGGTTGTACAAGACAGTGTCATGTTTTTAAGAAACACATGCTGAAGTAACGTATTTAAATGTAAAGGGGCATGGCATCTACAATTCATTTCAAATGTTTCAGAAAAAAAAGATGACGAATATGTGGCAAAATGTTAACAGTTGGTTAATTTAAATGAAAGGGATAAAGTTCTTTGTATTATCCTTGTCATTTTCCTTTAGTTTTCAAACTTAGTTTTGAAAAATAAATGAAAACTAAAACCATTTATGTGAAAGTCATAAGGTGAAACCAGCCTTGTTATTATGTTTACTTTTCTGCTGTCTAGTGAATTGTACTTACATGAAAGTAGACTGTCCCATGTTCACTCTTAATGTCCACAGAGTAGCTCAATAACTTACTTGTGGAATTCAGAAAAAAAAAGAGTGCAGTGAAATTACTGATGTCACTGCAGCCCTTATTCTTTTTCTTCAGGTACCACCACAGCATTATTTACCCAGGAGTCTGTCAAAGCTTTGGTCTCAGTAAGCCGTGTCAATCATTTCATGATATTGTCCTGGCCTCATTGATCAGATGGCCTTGGTACCACACCTAGGGAAACACTTTCCCAGAACTGACTGCCATTATTTCATTCCAGAAGACATTCTCTCTTAAGACTATGTGAATGTGTTGGAACAAACCAATGACCAAATCCACTAAATATTCACAATCAAAAACCCTACATTTTTGTGGCACCCCCATTACCTGCTTTTAGATATCACTGGTTATTCCTTGGAATTAAAGGACACTTATTAAAAGCAGGTTAAATGAATGAAAACAAAGACCATGGTATGTCTGACATTAGATTCTATGGGTCTAAAACTTACTCTTAGAATGCATATGGCAGATAGGTGACGTTTCATAAACTTGAATGGCACTGAGCTGAAGACCCTTGTTTAACAAAAACGAGGAAAACAAACTGTGTGAAGTACATGAATATATGACTGTATAAGCTTAGCAGCTAAGCTGATTTCAGTGTTGTATGGGAAGGCAGTAGCACATTTTAGTGGAAAGACATGGGTTTTTGAAGCCAGCCAGATTTTAGTTCAAATTCTGGCACTCCATTAGCAGCCTGTGTGATCCTGAGCAAGTCATGTAATTTCTCTTGGAGCTAGTTTTATTAGCTAAATAATGGGGATAATAATACCTCCTTTATTTTATAACATAGCTGTGAGGATCCATCATTGCCGACTACCATAGTAGTCTTGGTTCAATAAGGGGTAGTTCGTATTATCTCTACCAACAGTGTGCAGGAGCTGTGTCTGAGAGGGGATTTTAATCACATTTCTTTCACTGACACAGAGCTCCCTAAAGGCCTGGTGACCACAAATGAAGCCTTAACTCAAAGACAGTAGAGTCTTTCTTTGAAAGGAACAGAATTAAAGTAGGGTCTGTCCTTTCATGATGGGGCACAAAGAGGCTATTAGTCAACTCAGCAAGTAAGTACTCTGTAAATCAGCTCAGCACACTCAGAGATCACTCTGAAGCAGCATGCTAAGCCGGGGTACAAGGGAGAGCTTAAAACTTAATGACTCTACCTGAGCCATGTAGTCTAAGAAACAACCCAGGAGAAGCATTCTGAGCATCAATTACTACCCCCTAGTGTTGAAACCAGCTGTCTGAATATGATTATAGATCACCCAGGTCTATTCCAAATGAATTTTCAGGGATGCCTATGAGCATAGCAAGATTTGGAGTATCTTAGGAGAGATTGCTGTCTAGATTGTGTGTTTTTGGATGGATGTTGAAGGAAGAGTAGAAATCCAACAATCTTCCTTCATAGGTTCCAATTCTCTGGTCTGTCACTGTTAAATATGTTTCCTTCTTATTGAGAAAGGAAGTGGCATTGCAGGTTATGTGGCTTTGGATTCAAAGTAGAATTTGGTTTAAATTCTAGGTCTGCCATGTATTATGTGAATTTGGGTGTCACTTAATTGTACAGAATGCACTGTTTCCCCATCTATAAATATTAATATACACTTTGTAGTTTTGCTCCAAGGGTTCAGTGAACTCTTGCATGCCAGAGGCTTCTGCACATAGCAGTTACTCAAAACATCTCAGTTCCCCAGAACCTTGCCCTTCCTCCTCTCAACTGAAAGCCAAGATGGTACTGGCTTATTTAAGCATGAAAACATGAGTGTGACATACTTAAAAGCCTGTTATACCCCTATGGAATTGATGCAAAGGAATCAACACCTTTTGCAATTACCTCTGCCCAAATGGCTGCAGCTCCCCACACAGGAGCTGGGGCTGGCGGTGAACTGCTGCTCTCAGTGTAAGTTCTAGGAATGCAGGCAGTTGGCTCTGCAGACCTCAGCCTCTACTGGGTTGGCAGCCTCTCTGTTGAAGCTGGGCATCTGCCAATGCCTGAGCTCCAGGATAAAGTGAGATTGGCTTACAGTGTCAGGCACCTGTCTTTGGGGAAATAGGATTTTCTCCTGTTGGTGTGGAGTATCAGTTCTGGCCTTAATAAATTCACCATACATGAAGCTACATCATCTTCTAGTTTGTACGTATTGTACACAAATAGCACCTTTCATTCTTAGAAGCGACCCGTTTTCGATGACAAATTATATGGTCACCAGCTATGCCCATAAAAATGTAAGTGAAAGCAAGGTGGCTGGACATGAGTCAGGGGCCAAGAAAAATTTTTGAAAAGTGAAAGGCTTTAGAGAATTAAGAATTGATTTTTAACACTGAGGAACCAATGCTACCAGCAGATTTTCACTTGGCTAAAGTAGCTGGTAATGATTAATCGAAAAAGTTTATCAGTATGTGTACCTCTCCTAATAATGGTCGTCTCTAGGGAAGGAGGAGAAATTAGTGCCTCTGTGTCTGTGTATCTGTCTGTGTCTGCATGTACCCAGGGGAGAGAAAAAGTCAATGATATGCTGCTGGCAAGTATTTAACAACTGGCTCTTGGGGATAAGGAGGGGGGATCACGGAAGGTGGAAACTGGGAAGACATATGCCTATAAAGGTCTTGTGAGCATGTAGAAGCTAGCCCAGCACACCACTGAAGAAACTGGACTTTGACATGTATTTTGAAAAATTTTTTTTGTTCTGCTTTATACATATATGCCAGCTTTTATTTATAAATGCTATATATATGCTATATACATGTATTGTCTCTCTCTCTCTATACACACACACATATATTCATAAGCCTAGCTATATCTATGCAAAAATTAGGCCTAATTCTTGTATAAATTTCAGTGAAATGTTCACTTGAGCATATAACACACTGAGTGATCTTACAAACCCAATTGCTATGGGTTCTCACATGACTACCAGGCCCAAGGATGGGATGTTCCTGTCACAGTTGATTACTAGGGTTTACCCTGCTAGCCTACATCTGGTAGAAGACCACATCTGGCCCCAGTGTTGAGAAAGATGCTGAATGGAAAACAAGAAGATTGTTAGAGGACAGAGTGAGATCTAACTTCAGGCAAAAGGAAGAGAAAGGTTAAAGCTTAAATGATGAGGAAAAATAGAACGGGAGAACAGAAAGCATGAAGTTGCTGTTTACCGATCGCAATTTAGCTCTCATGCTGAGGTGTGTCTCCGTGGCTTCTTGCAAGAGTGGGAGGGGAATGGGGAAGAAAGAGTCTGTACTTTCATTTATTAAATGCAGCTTTCGCTGGTCACATTGCAACTCAATACAAACAGCCCAGCAGAGGATAGGGCATTAACTCTTGTTCTCATCAGTGTAAACACAACATTAATATTGAAGATTAAAGAAAATGGGTAAAAAGTCCAGTGTCTCCTCAGTCTGCGTGAAGGTGAAGGTGGTTGCCTACCCTTGGACAGGTCCCAAAGGGAGACTGAGGTTTGTCACCTCGTTCCATCCACAGTGAAGCAGGCAAGAACCAGAGGAACCCAATGACGTTCTTCTTGGAGGTCTCCAGATGGACACATGAATCTTCAGAACTGGGCTCGCATGAATTACTAAAGTTCTTCTAAACGCCGGAGAGGTTCGTACCTTACGTGTGCATTCTAGTTCCTTCAAAGCCCTTTCCCATGCATCAGTCACTGCCAATAGAAAATGGGACCGGTGTGAAACAGTCAGCCCTCGTGATTCCGCAGTCCCCATCGTAGCCCCTGGACTCTGGACAGTAGGGAATTCAAAGTCATGGGAGCCTCGGTGATCATCCTGAAGGAAGCTTCCCGAGTTTAAATATTGGCCGAAGACACTTGACCTCCTTCTTGGGCCACTGCTGACAGAGGCAGCTGATTTTCCTTTAGAGCCTTAAAGGATCAGATATTCTATTTTGGATTGCCAGCCCCCAAAATAAGCAAACATTTAAACCCCCAAGGAAAAAAAAAAAGAGTGACTTTGGGGATAAGGAAACCAACCCTACCTCCAGGACCCTCTGGCTACAATGTCCCCGTTGGGTTTTTCCAAATGGTTGGTTCATAACTCCATTTGAATGCCCAGCAACGGTGCAGGGCAAAGGGGAACGTTTCCACTAAATAACGACAATTTTGCTTTTATTCACCCCAGCACCTTGACTTCCCTTTCTCCGCAGTGATGATGGGAAGCCTAATTATTAAAAAGCAACCAGAACATCCTAAAGCCCTGCCTTGATCTGTGGCTCTGCAGTAAGATGTTAATCTTTTTACTCCTCACCCTCTGATTTCCCATTCTTGAAGAGACTCATCTAGCTGGGCTGCATTATCTACTCTCTGGGAATGCAGGATGCAGGGTTGTGGGGCAGAGAGGGACTGGCTGGATCCTCGTCCAAGGTCTCTGTAGTGAGGGCAGCTTGGCTGGGCCAAAGAGATAAATAAAAACAAACCAAAAAAGCATGGCTCAATTTTGAATTTGAAGGCTGGGCCCCGAACAGCGAGTGGCACTTCCCTGCAGCAGGTCTCTCCCTAGTGGTGGGCTTCTTGGTGCTAGCTGTTGTTCTCGGCTGTGAGATATTTCAGGGCAGCAAAGCCATAGCGGCGGGACATGTCCTGCTGAAACTCTTCCTTGAGGGTTTTGAGACAGATGCGGTATTGCTTGTTGGAACGGAACTTAGTAATGTCGAAGCTGGGGGCATGAGGCATGTGGATCATGTAGGCGTTGGGCAGCACAATGAATTCATACTCCTGGAAGAAGACAAGAGCAGCATGAGAACCTGCCAGAGCCCGGGGTCATGCACGATGAAGGCCCAAGCAAATGACTGAATGGCTAGTGAATGAATGACTTGATAATGGCACCCACAAGCAGGTGGCACATGGACAGCACAAGAGCTTTGGAGTGGGACAATTCAGGGCTGTCTCCATGACCTTGGACCAGATAACTGGCTTCTCTGAGCCTTTATGTTCTCATCTATAAGGTGAAAGTAATAATATCCTTGAAGGATGACCATGACAGTGAAGCCAATGACACATGAACAGTGCTGAGCCAAGCTCGTGGCCTAGAATAGGTTTTTGATGGATAGATGTGAGCTCACACCCACGTCGACACTCTAGGATGACACACGCCATGGAATATTCTCTTGCTCGATTAACTGACATCTGTTTATGACTCCTCATAGGACTTGATGCGATCTGACGGCCTCAACAGATAAGTGCAAGAGAGGGTACAAAAAAAGAATGAAAGGCAAGATGAAATAAAAACAAATGCTTCACTGGACCTAAGCTCACCAAGAACAAACCTCTCCCTGACACATCCTTATCACAGGTTACATTATCACCCAGTATTCTCAACTTGGCAGAATATAGCTTAATACACAGGCCCAAAATAAAAGGCCTCTGAATAGCCAAAACAGGTGACCCAGATTTAGGTCATATTGCTTAGAGAACTCAGCACACTTTCACTCACATCTGTTTACTCTGATTTTGGACATACTGTCTAATAAGCTTTGGTTATCCAGTTTCCCAGTCCAGAGCAGATAAGAATAAACCCTGGGAAAATTGAGATGAGGAAAGTTGGCTACTAACAGGTAGAGCAATATAACAGCAGCAAGAAAAGACAGTTGCTGGTGAGGAATGAATTGAGAAAAACCATGAAAAAAAAAATGCAAGATCTCCCAGAGCTGAATTGTCTGGGACATATTTAATGGAGGGACAAAGAGCCCCACCAACTGCACTAGCCCCATGGGTTTGGCTGTTATTACCTGGAAGGTGTGCACTCATTATTTCCTTAAGGTACTGGAAAGGGTAAGATTATGTTTGGGACATGTGATTGGCAAAGAAAAGAAAATATGCAATGTATTTTCAAGAATTCTGTCCAAACTATCTAAAACAAAGTCCAGGTCTCATGGCCCAAGTGAGACCATGAGACCCAAGGGTTGAGGAAGGAGCAGTGGTTTGGGATCCAGAGCCCTGAGGATCAGTATTACCACTGGTCCTTGAGCATGTCTTGTTCCCTCTTAGCTCTCTGCTTCCTTGTCTCCAAGGATTCCTTAAGCTCTAGGATCAAGGCCATTCCCCCTCTGGAAAAATTAACTTTCTTTGAACCAGTTCACCTCACAAAACTGCTGGATGCACGAACATTACATTCCTTTTCTTTCAAGCAGAAGCGGAAGCAGACTGAACCTGGCTGTCTAGGAGTAGCACTCTGCCCAAAGTATTATCAAAATATGGATACCGATGGCCTTGTTAAACATGGACATGAGTCTGTAATCTTCTATCTACATCAGTGGTTCTCGGCCCCAGTGCTTCTCTATCACCTGGGACTGCTCTCAAACATACTCGAACTATTGAAATAAAAGTTTTGGTGATTTTCATGAACTGCTCACCAGCACTCAGCATCCAACCTTAGCTTTTTCTGAATTGAAGATGCTCTTGTTGAAAAATATTTGCACTGTGCACCAGGAGGAGATGCCTTGGAGAAGAAGAGCACACCAAAAAAAAAAAAAAAAAAAAAAACCAAGAAAAAGAAAAAAGACTGGGGATGGAGGGACCCAGGAACCTTTCTTCTAATTTAACCAGAGCAGCTTTGCTTTTGTTTAACAAAGGGGTTGAAAAATTACAGCATGTCTGGTCCATTTCATGTTTCCGTAAATAAAGTTTTACTGAAACAGCCACATTCATTTGTTTAAAGAATGTCTCAGACTGAACTACAATGGCAGAGTTGCGTAGTTGAAAAGACCTGTAGGTCCCATAAAATTCAAACACTATCTGGTCCTTTACAGAAAAAGTTTGCTGATCCTTGGTGTCACTTATTAGAATTCTGTAGATTTATTTTGAAGTAGGAGCTCAGTAAGTCTCAAAGTCACCACTCTATTAGTAAAGGCTGGTATAATTAGCTGCATCTTAACTCTAAGGATGCTTTGTGTCAGTTACGTGACTCAAAGACCAAGTAATGAATGGTCACTTTGTCTTCATCATTAGGTTGGGTGAGGATGAGGAGGTGAAATGGTTTGTCACAGGAAACTCACGTTTACCTGGGTCCTGACCAAGAACCCAATTCTCACCCAAGGGTTGAGGAAGGAGCAATGGCTTGGGATCAAGATCCCCGAGGATCAGTGCTACCACTGGTCCCTGAGCATATCTTTGGTTTCTTGTCTCCAAGGATCCCTTAAGCTCTAATCTGGGCCTCTTCTCCCATTGACAGCACCAGGTGGAAACTCCGTTCTTCTCACCTGCACATCCAGTTCCATGATATGAGCCACTTTGTTCCAGCCAAAGCCTACAAACCTCCGGTCATACTCCGGGCAGTCACGTTTCACGACAACATACGGCTCAAAATCGGCCTCCCACTCGACCCGGTAAGGCGTGGTGGCGGTCCGCCACTTGGCGAAGTTTGTGGGTGCATGGCCTTTCGTCCAGACGTGGTACCTGAGACACATGGAGAAAAGCCTTTGGGTGGAGGGAAGGAAGCCAAGCTCTCGAAATGCACCTGATGTGGAGAAGAGGTATACACTGATGCACTCCTCAGGGGAGTTAAATTGTCTCTTTCCCAAAAGCTACACTGAAGTCCTAACCCCTAGTACCTGTGAATGGGACCTATTTGGAATCAGGGTCTTTGCAGACGTAATGTAATGAGGTTGTGATGAGATCACAGTGGATGTGGGGTGGGCACTAATCCAATGACTGGAGTCCTTACAAGAAGGGGAAAATTTAGACAGAGACACACAGCAAGAATACCATGTATAGATATTGGCAGAGATTGGAATGATGGATGCATCTATAAATCAAAGATTGCCAAACACCGCTGGCAGTCACCAGAAAGAGGCCTAAGACCCCAGGGAAAAAGTATGGACTTACTGACAGCTTGATATTGGACTTTGGCCTCCAAATTTCTATTGTGTTAAGCCATCCAGTTTGTAGTATTTTGTGGCAGCAGCTACCAGAAACCCTAATCCAGTCTGCTGTCTGCATGCTTCACTAATGAGGAGATTCTCACTATGAAAAGAACTCTTGGAGGGCTCCATATCATTTCTCAGGAACCAAATGCAGGTCAGCTTGTATAGAGTTACTGCTGCCAGAGGCCACTATGGTAGGCAGGAGTATAAGATCGTCTCCCATGACCCTCACCCTGTATAGTGCTCTCACTTTTGGGGCAGAACCTGTGAGTATGTATGTGATCGCTCTTGGGATTATGTTACATTATTTGGCAGAAGGGATTGTTGTGGATATAAATAAGGTTACTTAGTTTACCTTGTGTGAAAATGGGAGATGACTGAATCACGTGACCCTTTAGACCTAGGTCTGGAAGAAAGCAAGCAGCTATGTTGGGAGCTGCCTATGGGGGCCAAATGGCAAATAACTAGACTCTAGGAGAGCAGTCCCTGGTCAAAAGCCAGCAGAAAAGTGGGCCCTTAGGTCTACAAATGAAACGACTTCTGCCAACCACCAGAGATCTGGAAGAGAACTGAAGGTGTGCAGAGTCCTTGATTTCAGCCCAGTGAAATCCTGAGGAGAGAATCCAGTCATTCCATGCCTGGTTCTCTGATCTCTAGAGAGTGAGATCACAAATCTTCAAGCTGCTATGTTTGTGGTAATTTGTTATACAGGAGTAAAACATGAATATAATCATATAACCACAATATGCAGCAGCTAATATTAGTTAACCACTTACTGTTAAATAGTACTGGGACTATTTTAAATCTCTCTCTCTCTCTCTCTCTCTCTCTCTCTCACACACACACACACACACACACACACATAGACAGATAAATTATTTTAAATTCTCATAACTTACCAAATGTCAAAGTACAAGCAGTAAGTGGTGGAGTTGCGATTCAAACCCAGGAAGCCTCGTTCAAGGGCCAGGAGCCTCCTGAAGCACTTTCTGGGTCACCTCTCTTATATGTCCCTGTCCCCCCACACTTCCTGGCCTATTGAACGCGTATTCAACAATTGTGCACTAAACTGAATTAATTAATTAATGAGTAACCTAACAACATGAGAGGCCCCTGAGATGGGCCCCTGGGATGGCAATACAGAGAGATGGCAGAAAGCTGGGTGTCTAGTGAAGGAGTAGACAGGGCCCAAGAGAAGGGTTAGGAAAAGGAGTATCCAGAGCTGGAAAGAAAAGTTTCATGACATGAAAACAGGATAGAAGGTTGGGAACCCAAGAACTTAGCTGCAGGCAGAGAGGAAGTGGAAGTCCTGGGTTCCATCTCATTCTTTAGGCAGGCTCCCCAAAGCATGAGAGGTGCTAAGTGAGAGCAGGGAATGCAGATGCTTCCTTCTTTTGCTCTTCCACCACTGAGGCTGGACTCCCTGCAAACCCTAAGGGAACTGGCCAGTGTGGCTGAACAGGCACTAGCCACAGTAGGTGGGCTTTGATTAAGCTGTGCTGTTGGGTATGATGGCCAGGCTGGGGTAGGGCAGGGACTTGAACCTCAGCTCTGTCAACACAGCAACTTCCATCAAAACCAAAGCCACTTAAATGGAAGAAAAATGAAAGGTGAAGCAATGCCATTTTAATGGAGTGTGGAAAAGGGATATTGCGAGGGATGTCAATCTTGGGTATGATCCAAAAATTAGGCCCAGAAGCAGTTGCTTTTCCATTTGTGAACTTGCTGATCGGGCAGTCTTGACACCTGATGCCTTTGACAGAACTGGACCAGCACAGCTGATGGAGGTTTAAAGCATGGCACAATGAAGCCATCAGGCCAGGGGGCAAATCCTACCTTTGCCACTTAGGAGCTGAAGACCTTGCAGAACACACTGCTTTAACTAGGCATTAATTTCCTTTTGTGTTAGCTGGGGAAAATAATACCTATCTGGTTGAGCTGCCAAGGAGCTTAAATGAGAAAATGTAAAGAGCCTGGCACAGTATCAGCATTTAACAGGAAGTCAACAAATGCTACTTTAACAATGTGGTTAAAAACAATGGTTCTGGAGGCAGCCTGCCTGGGTTTGAATTCTGTCATTCAGCAGGTATGGATCCATTAGCTACTTGGCACCTTTGTTTCATTCTCTTGGCAAAACAGACATGGCAATATCTATTTCCCAGATTTATGATGATTATGTGACTTAATTCACATACAGTACTCAGAGCAGTTTCTGATGTATAGTAATTATTCAAAAAGGAGAAAGAGAAAATTCTCTTTTACTTCTCCTGTTTCCCAGATATGATGTCAATTCCTAGTGGTCTTGCTCTCAGTGATATTGACAGCCATGCTATTGGTCATCCATCTTTAGAATCTGAACTCTTGGACAATTAAGAAGAAGGAAAAAGAACGGGAATGTAGGGACAGCTGGGTTAGTTCTATTCATCTGACTGAGGAGGCAGCTTTGATCAGTTCAGCCTGGACACTGACGGCCTGCTGAATGGCTGGGTAGCACAGGGTATAGTAATGTTAGAATGAACCCATTGTTAAAACAAGCCCCAGCCTGTGAATGAGATGAGGAATCTATTGCCAGGCCAGTAGACACCGGACTTTGAGGCTTGCTGTCTGAGACAAGCAATGTCAGGTAGCCTCCTTACCTGCTATAAAAGGGATGAGATGATGAGAGAGACTTCCTAGGTACACCTTACAGGATGCTACTGGGGAGAAGAGATTCAGGGCACTTTCCTTTGAGCAGTGGTTCTCAAACTTGACTATGCATTAGAATGATCTGAAAGACTGGTTCTAATTCCAGAGTTTCTGATGCAGGTGGTCTGGGTTAGGCTTGAGCCTCTGCATTTCTAACAAGTTCCTAAGTGATGTCGAAGCTACTGGTCCAGGGACCACATTCTAGAGCCACTGCCCTGGAGGACTTGTAAAGGTGTGGATGCTTTCTCATTCTGGGTGTGGTACGGAGCAGGTGTCAGCTGCTCAGAGGCTTAAGAGTTCATTATTTGGAGACGCGGTGACAACAGTTTCTCAGACACAAGGTCTCTAATTTAGCACTTGGCATGATGGCTTGCAAGTGGCCAGAGCAGCCATCATGGACACAGCAGGCCACACTCCAACTTCTGCGGCCACAAATGTGGCTGTGAAATGAGTTATTGGTTCCCATGGCAAGAACATGGAAGGAAGGATGCTTTGGAAATGTGTCAGGTGCTCAGCCATCAGACTAGGGCATCTGTGGGAGACTTGGACTAAGGTTTGATCTGAAAGTCTAAATTCTGAGGAGCAAGTTTTTACGCTGCATCTTGCAAGACTGGTTTTAAAACAAACAAACAAACAAACAAACCAAAAAAAAACAGGGCTCAATCAGTAGCCAGATGGTATTCTGACTAAGAACACACTCTCTCTTTTGTGTGCTTGTCCATTCATTCATTTGGTAGGTGGGTTTTATTCTAGCAGCACCATGGTGATGGTTTTGCTTTTTCTTTGTGGTATGAGTGGTCTGTTCTCTGAGCCCCTGAGGCCTGGGGGATGTGTAGCCATTGTGTCAACAACTTCAAGTCATCAAGGTGACTCCAGAGTTGCACCCAGCACATGTGACAGCCAGTGTTCCTGTAGCCCAAGTGACCTTTGCAAATAGAATCCTGATTTTCCTTCTTCCCCAGGCCCCTGAGTTCTGCAGGAATATTTCAAGGTTCCTCTGTGGTTCCTCAGACCTGGGCCGAATCCAGGCTTTAGTATGTACTGGCTGTGTGTCATTGGGCAAATTATTAAAACTTCCCAGAGCTGCAGTTTCATTATCTGTGCAATGGGGATAATAGTGTCTGTCAAAGAGATTTATTATGAGAATTAGTTATGTAATTACAGTGCCTGCCACATGCTAAGCATGCAATAAGTGGTAGTTATTTCTTTCAGAAAAGAAGGAAGGCTTGGGTTGGGTGGGGGATGGGTACTAACTCTTCCAGGTCACTTTCCAGAATTCCTTATAGAGGAAGAAGGCTGGAGTTTGAGTCCTGGCTCTGCTAGGACCTCCCTATTCCTCAGTTTCTTCATCTGTAAAAAATGTGAAAATTGATAACCTCTGAACTGTTGAACAATCCACCTCATAAAGTTGTTTTCCCAAGACAAGTTTACTTGAGGAAATTTTATAGAAATTTCTAGAAACTTAATCATGGTGTCAAACCCAAGTTATTTTAATATATATTGTTTTAGGTTTTTGGGGATACATGTTAAGAATATGCAAGATGGTTGCATAGGTACATACATGGCAATGTGGTTTGCTGCCTTCCTCCCCATCATCTATATCTGGGATTTCTCCCCATGTTATCACTCCCCAACTCCTCACCCCCTGCTGTCCCTCGCCTGACAGACCCCAGTATGTGATGCTCCCCTCCCTGTGTCCATGTGTCCTGATTGTTCAATAGCCGCCTATGAGTAAGAACATGTGGTGTTTGATTTTCTGTTCTTGTGTCAGTTTGCTGAGAATGATAGTTTCCAGGTTCATCCATGACCCTACAAAGGACACAAAATCATCATTTTTTTATGGCTGCA